TTTACGCTACAAGTTGCGTATGTTTGGGATCCCACTGGATGAGGAACCAACACAGGTGTTAGTGGACAATGAAGCGGTTGTTAAAAACTCGTCACTGGTAGAATCTACGTTGAACAAAAAGCACAATGCCTATTACGATGCCCTTTTTTGCAATATTCCTTTGGCAATGGGATTCGTCCCCTCGAACTGGCATAACTTGATGAATTTTGCAATTGAGAAAAAAGCAGGGGACTTCCGGCTGTCAAAAATGCGCACTATTCAGTTAATGAATTCGGAGGCACAGGCGAACAACAAAAAAACGGGTCGCGCGGCCATGCAATATGCCAAGGAACACTCCTTGATTCCGGACGGTCAGTGTGGTTCTCGGAAACGCCATCAGGCTATCGATCTGGCCCTGTCCAAACGTCTGGTCTGGGACCTGTTGATTCTCCAACGACGAGCGGCCGGGTGGATCTCTAATGATGCCAAATCCTGCTTTGATTGTGTTGTTCATTGGGTGGCAATCATTGCGATGCTCCGGTTTGGGCTGACATGCAGAGTCCTATCTTCCATGTTCAACATGCTCTTGTCAGCAACGCATCCGATGCGGACAGGCTTTGGCGATTCAGATCGTAGCTTCAAGCCGCCTTCTGTTATCCCCTTTCAAAGATGTGGCCAGGGCAATGGAGCAGGACCTCCCATATGGATCTCTGTGAGCTCCGTTCTCATAACCATGATGGAAGCGATGGGTTACGGCTTTGAGTGCCTCTCAGCTCTGGAGTCACAATTGGTCACAGCCCAATGCTTTTGCTTTGTCGACGACACCAACATCATTGAAGCTGGCAATACAGTCCATCACTCGGGTGAAGCTATATGTGCATCCGTGCAGGCAGCCGCTACCCTGTGGGCGGGGGGGAATCCGAGCTACTGGAGGTGCGATTAACCCTGAGAAGTCCTTTTGGTGGCTCATTGACTTTGATTGGGACTCCCGCATAGGCAAATGGGAAAAAAGCAGTTGCCCCCGACTTTGAACTCCAAATTCAAGGTCTATCAGGTGCTACTGAATCCCTGCGTTGTCTTGAACCAGACGACTCTGAACGCACTTTGGGAGTGATGCTCGCTCCTTTGGAAAACCTTAAGGCTCACGAGGTTCAGATGATTGCTAAAGCCAAGGATTGGGCAGAACAGCTTTGACCCAACCTTCTTCACAAACATGACGTCCTCCCCTCATCAGGTCGACCATCATGAAGAAATTGGAGTATCCTATGGCGCTAACCACCCTGGACGCCCAGCAACGGACAGACAATATGTCTCCGGTACTTCAAGTGTGCCTTCCGAAGGCGGGCGTCTGTCGTAACTTCCGTCGAGATGTTGTGTTCGCTCCGCTGCCCTATCAGGGTCTTGGACTTCCACATCCGTTTGGTTGTCAAGTGTTTAAGCATCTCGAGATGTTGCTTCGACATATGGCCAACAGGACCAAAACTGGTGACTATATGGAGGCCAACTTCCAATATATATATATAACTGATGCATTAATCGTATTAAAACTATCTCAAGTTTCTAGATTGCCGCTAACGGCTGTCATGGCCATTTACCATACGGAGGTGAGTCCAGTACTGTTGAACCAGTGTGAGGCATCCAATCCCAGGGAAGTTGCTCTCATCGGATATTACATTGCACCCTTGCACATGTAGAAACG